TAGTAGCAGTAGTAGTAGTAGCAGTTGTTGTTGTTGTTGTTGTTGTTGTTGTTGTCGTTGGTGTCGTTGTTGTCATCGTCGTCGTTGTTGTTGTTGTTGTTGTCGTCGTTGTTGTCGTTGTTGTAGTATGCTGTCGTTGTAGTAGTTACATTCAGTAAAGTAGGAGCACAGTCATGGTCATTGTTGTGACGTGTTGAGATGTAGCTCTTCGTGTGTTTGCGGTCAGAGAAAGCCAGCAACATCACCGAGGGGATATTGCGGTCTCAACAGAATCTGCAAGAGAGATGATTGCAGGACCGCGTTTGGATGATGCTACACAGCGGTTCCCGCAACATTGGCAACGTCTCGGGCTCAGATCCCAAGAGCACAGCAGCTGCACATATTTGGCTTTTGAGAGCTGCTCTGGCTTGCAGATTCCAGCGTCCCGCAACGCAGTGTTTTCGGGGACTTTCTATGTATGTCCAGGTGACAGCACAGCACTACGACAAGGTGGCTGCGAAGCAGCGTGGCTCCTATGCGGACCCCAACTGCAACATACCTCCGAAATGCGTTTGAAAATACTCCGATACAACTTCCGAAATGCTTTTGAAAAATCATATGCGAAATGGGCACTGGTGCTTATCTTGGAGCTAGAGCTGAGCAAACTTTGAATGTAAGAAGAAACCTGTCAGAGCCCATCTCAAGGTGTAATGGCCGTCCTGAAGCGCTGGCTTACTTGAGGCCCCCAAATTTTGTTGAGTCCTTGGTCAGTTTCTGTAAAGGAGGATGCCACATAGTGACCCATGAGTTTATTCCCAAAAGCAGGATTGAGTCTCCAGAAGGTCCGGGCCTTGAAGCTCCAGCTTTCGATGCTGAAATGCCAATGGCCGGCTGTGAGGTCAGCAGTACCTGACTGACATGACCTTTTGTCAGGCTTATGCCTGGAAAAACAGGCAGCAACTGGGATTTTTGGGGTAATTTGCAAAGGCTCTGCCAGGTTGCAACACCTATTCCGTGAAGACGTTGATACTGGGTATAGCATGCCTAACATCCGGAGACATGGCAGAATCCCGCGCTCCAAAGAATTCCAACGTGAGCTGTCAAGAGTAAGGAAAGGACGGAGGGTGCTGGCTCTGGTCTTTTTTCTTTTAGCCGCAGGCGCTTCATGATGGAATCCTTCGCTGAGGCTCTGGTCTCAGTTGTGCATATGCCTTGAGCGAGTGATGCTGGAAGGTGGTCAAGAAGGAGACGCGCCGTGATGCCTTGTGGGACCAGATGGCAGGGCTTCTGACTCATCAGCTCAGAGATTCGCAAGATTGCTTGAGACAGGTCAACATCCACCACAACTATTGCGAGTGCGAAAGCTGCAGGCGTGCTGCAAGCGTATGGGCTCTGAGCAGCTTGGGGGTGATGCAGCAGGTACCTCGATCCTGCCACCAAGAGGCCTTTCCACACGGCATGGTCGCAAGATCTTTCTGTGCAAGTCAAGGTGGGTTGAGGAAAAGTTGTGGATCACTCGAAAGGGGGCGTCGAAAGCTCAGAGTGTCTCTTGCTCAGCGGGCGTCTCAGTGACTCACACGCTGTTTGCAAGGACTAGTGCCAAAGTCGGACAGCTGGGCATCATCCCTGGTAGCCCCCAGACTGCAAGAGGAAGATTCAGGAGGACTTGTGTGCTGCGGGCACATGGCATCTTGAGGCATGGGCACTGGCTCCTACATAGTGCGTGGCAAGGGTGAGGCAGACTCCTGGCAGTGCGCCTCTGCCCTTGTCCGACATGGTTTGTTGGCATTCCATGTCCTTGCAAGGTCTTGCTCACATGGGGCTGGCCGATCTATGTCCAGGGCTACTGCTTTCAGGCTTGCTGAATTTTGAGTGGACCCAAGAGCCCCATAGGACGCCGTAAGAGTCCAGCAAACAAGGAACATTGACCCCAAGAGCTTTGCTGGGCACATGCGCGAGCGTGGTATAGTGCTGCCCCTTTCGGACGGGACCTGGAGTTTGTGAAGCAGTTTGCCTCTTGCAAGGTTTGGGACGTGAAGTTTGCAGACAAGGTTCGAGATGAGGCCAAGAAGCTCGGCAGCTGAGGACTTGAAAAAAGCTCCTGAAGCTGGCAGGCACCCATGGCCTACAAGGATCGTCAAATGTGCAGCCTACTGCGATGCAACAGTATGCAAAACACGTGATGATGCTTTGGTGCAGTCAGGACCTCAACACCGTGATGCAAAACCAGCAGGATCTCGTCGAGGCACCGTGTTCTTTGAGCTTACTACTGCTGACAGTAACTGAAGCATCTCATTTGGGGGAACATGAAAGTGATTCGCTGGATCAGGTTGTGCACCACCTACAGCAGATGCCCCAGTTGATGTTGCCGCATGATTGCAGATGCCCCTCCTGAACAGCGTCATCACAGCATGTGCCTGTTGCGCATTGGGGTGAGATGGCGGCAGCAGTCAGCAGTGGGGTGCGTTCGCTGTGGCATGCCTTGGAGCCTTGGAGCCTTCTGCGTCTCAGCTGAGGCCTCTCATCAACATGAAGGGCTGGTGAGCCTTGCCGTTCCGTAGCCATGTTTGGGACCTGGACCTGCTTCTGCTTGAGAAGATTCTGACAGAGCCCAGGTGAGCTTTCGCTTCTGTGAGCGCCGCTCCACTGGCTTGAAGGTTTCGCAGGATAGTCCTTGGTTCAGCCAGTGCAAAACTTGCGGTGAGCCATGGCCTCCGCAGACGTGGAGCT